GTGTTTTTTATATTTAAAATTTTTGACATCCCATCAAATCAAACAACCCTCTATCATGACTTCACTTCCATTTTTGCCAGTGAACGTGGCAGAACGTTTTCAAAATAAATGAAAGGTTGTGGTACTGATTTCCAACTACAAAGATCGTTATATACTGCGAATTTAAATACCCAAGTCTGTAAAAAAATGTGGAACCTTTATAGTAGATTATTTTAGCTGATTTCTTCTACAGAAGGCAGAAACCATTACAAACCCTACATACGATTCCCCTGATAAGTGTGGCTAAAATCAGCATGCTGAGTATCAAGAAGTACCGAAACAATGGGGAGTAATAGCAAAATGTGAATCTATATTGGCATTGATCTGGTGCTGGAGATAGTACCCATTACGAACCCAAAAAACCGAGTTTGAAATGTGGCTAAAATTATAAAAAAAAACAAATATCGGGAGATACTTTTTTATGTGGGCTATAGGAAAACCTGAACGTATTAATTGTTCAGCCACCAGGGGTAGAACCCTTTACAAACTCTTAATAACAAATTTGCAAAATATCAAAACCTTCAAATTACAGATTATCGAGAGGTACAATTATATGGGGCTATACCATAACGTAGCCCTACATGTCAAATTTTCGAACTTAACCCGCCTACAGACAAAGTTAACATATTTGCAAAATTTTAGCATTCTATCTCAATTCGTTCGAAATATTGGAATTGGGTGATACAAACATGTCTTCAAAGTATTATATAGATTTTTTTATAAAATTTCTGGAAAAAGATTAGTTTAGTGGCTTAATCCACCTGGACCTATGTCTCGATGGAAGTTTCGAATACATCCTCTTTGTTGCGTTAATTTAATACGCAATGGATGCAAAAGGCAAACAGAGCAATCATATCGAAAAATAATATCTCAAATATTATCTAATTAGAATATTTGAAGTCTAAAGAAAATCGGACACTATTGCAACGTTCGTAGTTTGGTCTATTCCAATTCGACAATTGGACCGATTTCACACTTGCACTAATATAAACAAAAATATTGAAATGTGCAAAATTAAAGAAAAGTGGTTATTGGTTTTTCACTTTAAAGGAGTCATTACTGAAAATGTTGGCCTAGTATGAGGGATGAAATAACACGGCCTATGCCGAACTTTATTCATGGTTTGATTAATATCATGCATCGATTTCGGACCAAATCAATTACTTCCTTTAAGAGTTATCGTGAGTCCCAGTCCTCCACCCAGGCCACAGACGAACGGCCATGGTTACATCGACTGCAAATATTCCCGAAGCGGATTTTGTGGAAAGACACGTAGTTAATTTGTTTCGATATAGTTTTGTCGCCCTATATGGGGCAGATATGAAAATATCTACTATTTCAAATCTATTCGAATTCAAATATTCCACAATACATAAAATAATATCACAGAACCAAACCGATACTCATACTCAAAGACATAATTTCAAAAAGTAATAAAAATTCACTTACCTCTTGTCTCTTGAAAACGCATTTTTTCGCTGATCTAGAAGTTAAGATTTTAGAAAAGATTATTAAATGATTAAATTTAAATAATATATCTGCTCTTACCTTTACACTAACCAGCTCCAAATTGATCTTGAAAAAAATTGTTTAATGGTCTTTCGCGTAGTTCATGCTTTATTTGAAGAAAAACAATCACCCATGACTCGCTGGCTTGAGTTTGGGGACCCCGCTAACACTTATTTCCTTTTTGTTGAAAAATAAAAATTCTCTTCATCTACCATGTCATAGCCTTGCACTTTACCAATGTCATCTACGAAACATACACCCTCCGCCTCATATCAATTCATGATATCCCGTTTCCCAGCGATAAAAATAACCCACACTATGAGGTTCTGTCACTATTTTTCATAATTTTAATACATTTTCATAAAAGTATTTCACAATTTTTACAATGAATTGCCATTAAACCCTTTCTGTCATGACACGCAACTTAATTTTTGGCGCAAAATTGCACACTTCTTCCTCCTGTCTTTTCAGTTTAACAACTGAGGGAACTAAACCGTTTTCCGCAACAACAACGAACACATACACACAAATCCAAAGAACGATGCATGATGTATGAAAAAATGTCATAGAAAGCGTAATTCACAACAATTTATAATTTTTCTTATCTTTTCTTCACATTGAGAACTTTTTAACAATTTTTTATTATATATTGGTAACAGAATAAAAAAATTCACAATTTCCAGAGAAATTCGGGAAATTCCAATTTAAAGGGGAGCACCACCGGTTTGAGACTAACGAATGGTTGTATTCCACAATGACGCCCAAAAATATTTTTGCGCCAAAATACATTTCTCTTCCTCTTGCCTTTCCATGTTAATCAACCGGGCAGCCAAACCGTCGCACAGTGGTCGCTGCCATTGGCCAAAATTCAAAAAATGAAAATCAGATATTTATTGTCAAATTTGTACAAATGAACTCTTAAGGGCTTAAGCTTTTTAGAAAACATAATAATCTTGGCTTCATTCTAACGGGACACTTCGAAAATAGCATCAAAAAAGAGAAAATGTAGTTAGTAGTTTTTTTCAGTGGGATCAGAGAAAAAGTGGAGTAAAAACAGAACTGTATTACAAAATTAAATACATTTTAAAATAACAAATCTTGGCATTATTATTAAAAGGGAAGGTATTAACTTATTTTTAGTGCAGTAATTTGTGTGTTTAGTAGTTGTGTATAATATAGACTGAGTCTGAGTTGCCTTTAAGATTAATTTTGAAAATAAAATTGGATTTCAGGTAAAGTTTTAATTGTTTTCCCCCCTGAATCCTCCAATGTGATTTTTTTCGTGCCATTAGTAATGGCCCTAAGATTCTAAAAATGCTAATTTAACTTTCAGATTTTGTCAGATTTGTATGTTATGCCCAATATACTGAAGTGACTTCGCTGCAATTTTGTCAGTTCTATGGTGCTAGTGATATAGAATATGTTTTTGTTGTTTGGGATTGATAAGGATGTAACTGAGGGGTGTTCAATAATGTTTCAAGCATTGTCCTCTGATTAATGCCGAAAAATTTAAGGCCTTTGCACTGCACCCGTCTATAGAAATTTGTCATTGTATATATTAGATAATTATAGGAGGATGCCGTGGAGTCTAGAAACAAAGATATAAAAATGTTTCGACTAAATAATACCCAAAAAAAGTTTCGTGTTTCAACAAACACAGATCTTGTTAACCATCTTCTTCTGAGCTCCGACCCTTTTATAACGGGACAGCGAACGTTACCAAACAATAATCAATAAATAAAGTCTTAAAGTTGGGCGGGGCCGACTTCATGTTACCCTACACCACTTTGCATATGTCGTAGAGCATAACAAATAAAGGTTTTAATGGGGAATTTGTGAGAATTAAATCATACCAACTATGATAGTAGTAATAATAAAAAGTCCAAAGGAACTAATATATGGGAGGAATATAATCCTCTGAATCGATTTCTACTAAATTTGTCGAGACATTTGCGCCTTTTCAATTCGGGCTTGTATTTGGTCCAGAATTATCTTGAAATCGGATAGATATATATGAGAGTTATATCTAAATCTGAACCGAACTCCATAAAATTTGACAAAGGTATTTCTGAGCTGTATTTGATATATTGCCCCGAATATCGTTACTACGGAGTCCACATTACGGCTATGCAGAAAAAATTGAACAAATCGGATGAACAATATGTATGTGAGCTATAGCTATAACTGAATTGATTTCCACCAAATTTGACATACTGGTTTCCAGACTCAATTTGGCCGTAAGTACCAAAGTCCATTCCATTTGGGCTTATATTACACGTTTGGTGCACAATAAAAGGCAAATCGGACGAAGATATATATGGGAGCCATATCCAAATATTAACCGATCTCGATAAAAATTAGCAAGGGTATTTCTGAGTTATATTTGATATATTTCCCCAAATATCGTTGTTACAGAGTTCATATTACGGCTGCGGAGGACAAAAATAACAAATCGGATGAACATACTTATCTTCAGGTCCAATCTGGTCATACGTGTATTCCATACTATTTGGGCTGATACAAGTTTGGTGCACAATATAAGGCAAATTGAATGAAAATATAATGGGAGCTATACCTAAATTTTGAGTGATTATCTACAATTTCAATCGGGCCTTGGGTCAAACAAATTATTTGTGCAATTATTTTGTTTAAAAAAATCAAATTTGGAATTGATTTATAAAAAAAATACTTCTATTTTCGGAGGTATCTTAACTGGGGGACCCGCAGGTAGAACGTAAAATGTCAAATCACATTGCAATCTGGTGTAGAAATGTGACAAAAATTGGACAAATAACCCTTATTCGGGAGGTACGTTGTAAGGGGACCATGCCAAAACATGCATCGACCATATCCATTTTGTCACATTTTTTATTTTTATCATATCAAGGTACCATAACCAAAGATTCATATTGATATGTGCACTGAAAGTATTTTTGGCCGCTGTTCCCATACGACCTCGACCACTGTGCGTCGTTTACCGCAACAACACACACATAAATGCAAAAAAAATATAATGATGTTTGTAAAGTGGTAAAAGCACACAAATTGAGTTTACACAAAGTTTTTAATGTTGCTTTTATATTTTTCTATGTTTTCCCTTCACATTGGCAACTTTTTAATAATTCTTTATAACATATTAATAACGAAATAAATAACAATGCACACTTTCCAAACAAATTCGCGAATTTACGTTTTAAAGGGGAGCACCGCCGTTTGCTGACTAACGAATGGTTGTATTGGAGTGGCTAAGCTGTACTGGCGAGTACTTTTGTTGGTAATCATATGACTAGAAATACAACTGTGTGTGTGAAGGAATTTGACGTTTTGTATTTTTCATAAAATTCATAAAGACGTTACAAAATGTGTTTATGTGCATTGATTTATGTGGATTTCTAAGTAATTAAAACTAAAAGCATTGAATTGTGGTGTTGACAGAAATCAGTGGGAATTTTGTTTGGAAATGGTAAAGGTGATCATGTGTTGCGAGGCCCTCGAAATGCCCAAGTCCGCACCTGGACACCCAAAAAAAAATTTTGCGTGGAGGGTTTTTTAGGGGAGACCATTTTTGCCTTCGTGGCGGTCTCCAAACCACGGGTGAATTAAATTATTCCTAGCTTCCGATGTGCCTTTAAAGATGGGGAAGCTAGGAAGGGCTAGATGTTAGTAAGGGGTTAATATTTAGGTTTTGGTAGGCACTTGTTGCGGGTAACACTTGTCATTGTTAGCCATGCCTTGTTAGTAATGTTAGAATTGTTCTTGATATGCAGGCTAATTAAAATGCCTGTGATGTTGGTTGGTGGCTGGCAAAAGATCTGTCTCGTGGTGTTTAGTATTGCCTGGGAATGGTGGCCAGGACTTATATTTCGGCAAATACATTACCGGTGGGAGAGTGTCGGGGCAGCCAAAATTCTTGCAGTGAGCCCATATTACATTCCAAGGAAAGTGATGTGTGTTCACGAGAAATATGGCCGGCTCCGATACTCCGCCACCAGAAAAACCGCTGAAAAGAAAAAAAAAGAAATAATTAATAAATATAAAATGGTTTAATTTTAGAAATATAAAAATAAATTGGAACGACTCAAGCTTATACTACCACCGCCAAATACTAATGCCAAAAACAATGACAGTTGTCAGATGGCTATGAATGGCATTCACTACGAAGTGATAACCCAAATGGAATTGGTAATGGAACTTAAGCAAAGTAGAGACGGTGTTGCCGATGTGGAGTTAAATACTCTTAGATAGCAGTCGCGAGAAAAATTGTGACTCTTAATTTTTTTTGGGCAAATATGAGTATGAAAGTTTCACTAGACAGAGACCATTTCTTTAATTTAGATAAGGATAACTGGTGTCTAATGAACAAAATGTCCATCAGTGGAAAGCTACAACGGCGCACTGAAAAGGTTATAAAAGAGAGTAGCCAATGAAGAGAGGTTAATAGTTAGAAAATTGGTGCTGAACGAGAAAAAACGTTCATACTGAAAATTGGAAGTTCAGTGAAAAATATTCATGACTATTAAGATATTAAATTGAAAAAAGAACTACAAATTTAAATAAAAGGTGATGATTGTGTGAAAATTAGTGAAAAATGGAAAAAAATGATTAACAAGTCTTTAAAATTAGGTTTGCTTGGAGGATTGTGTGATTTTTGTTGGTCTTTGCGGTGAACCCAGTGGATAAATTAATTAATAAGTGTGAGGCGAAAGCCATTGAGGTAATTATTAAAAGTGGCTAAATTCTTTTAAGCCAAATATTAAAATTCCTATTTCTTGGATAGGCCAGCCACGTTTACACACGACAGCGCAACAACGAAAGAAAAGCGCTATCTCTTGGGTGAAGACCAAACATCACAAACATTATCCCGGTATTGCGAAGGTAGGAAAATATAATTTCCCAACTTTTTATAGCACCAGTATATCTGCCCCACCGCCATCTACGGGACAGTGGCTATACAAGCATTCCACGTGATCTCGGTTCAGCACCACTTTATTCCTATAAAGAAAAAATTGGCTGTGTTAATGATCCAAGACACAATAGGATCCACACATATATCGACAAACTGTCATAATTTTACAGTGTTTCCAAGGTGGAAGATTTTTGCGATTACCACGATTGGTGCAGAAGATAAGAAAAAGCCTGGAAACAAAATTCTAAGTGGCGCAAGTAGTAAAATTAATGAATAAGAAGTTGGCGTCACTATTCTTAACTACAATTTTCATCTAAAAACAATTTTTATTGACCTAATATTAAAATTTTTTTATCACATTTAAAAATCAAAAATTATTCCTATTATTCCTGTCAAAATATTATTCATATTTAGATTTAGTTATTTGTATTGACTTATTTTATTAGTATTATTATTTATGTTTATTTGTTTGTTACGTGTCTAAATTTTCTTTTTTCAGCATTCTCAAAGCTAAGGTTTCAATATAGTTTTTTTTTTGTTCCCCATTAAATTTCTTCGCAACAGAGCTCTTTTGTCGAGGTTATTAGGGTGGGTTTGAAAGTGTTAAAAGTATATATATTAAAAACCACGTTCATTGTGGATTCGGAAAAAAAATAGCTTTGCGAGTGTAATTTCAGTCTTGTCTATTAATGTTCATGGAATTGGACATGAAATAAACCTTTTTTGAGGTAAAAGATTCATGGTCAAAAGACCGTTCGTTATTTAATTTGGCAAATAGCCGTTAAAATTTAAAATTTCCTAACAACCCTTTAGCAAGAATAAAACAACTATTTAAATTTTTATGTGATAATTTTTTTTTAGATATTTATTGTATTTTTATTGTTGTAAGTTTTTTTTTATTAAGCATAAACGACTTCTTGTTAGGATTAGTAATTCTTTTAAATAATAATAAAAAATGATTTGAATGTTTGTCAAGATTAAAAAGATGATGTGTTAAGTTAGCTAAAGAGGAATTAAGGACGAGGTAAGTGGTGGATGTGGGCGGTTTGTGGGGTCAGTTAAGTAAAGAAGAGGAGGTACTGATCATGGTTGGGTGGGCATGATATTGGTCATCGGTTGGGGGTCCAGTATAGGAGGTGATGCATCGTTGTGTTAATGTAGTATTCAGTGTTGTGTCTTCATTTTAATTGCTGCATGTCAGGAGTAGGGGTGACGGGTTGGGACCACACCCAGAGAGGCGACCAAGCTAGTCGGAGCACATATGGACATGACCCCCTACTACAGCTCATGTAACAGTATGGCGCCCAAACTAGAATGTAATTCGGATGCAAATCCGAATGTTGTAAAGAAGTGTAGGTCAGCAAAACACTTGGTAATAGTCCAATATTTTTTTCTGAAATAGCCCAACATTTCTCCTCTCACGTTTCGGTATCCCAAAGTGTTTTCACTCCATAGCCAGTCTGGACATGAGCCAGAGTGTTGTATGGAGTGATGCATGTTGGAATACGGAGTTAAAAGAGGTGAAATGACATATTCAAAACTGGGAAGGATTTGGCCTACAGTGCATGAGTTTGCAAAGGGTAGTTGCAAATCGTTTCCAGGATTAAATGTTAACTTGTAGTGTTCGGTTTTAATTTGTTCTGTGAGCCTGTTTAAACGTAAGGTATCCGTCCTAGTAAATTACTAGGATCTGTTGTATCTGTCCATGTTGAACAGTAAATGGGTGCTCGTATCACGGTGCATCATGTCACAAAGCAAATTTGGGATTTTTGTTAATATTGTGTTTAAAGTTGTTCTATGCATCACCACCTAAACATACCTTTTTGGAAGACCAATTGCAACTGCACACATCACATCTCGTCCGAAATTCCTCCTATATTAAGAAAAAAATTGATATTAAAAAAAAAAAAAACACTAATTAGATTAATATAATAAAATAGGTTATAGTATACCATATATAGTTTAAATCGTCACAGCATCATTGGGAATGAATATAGCCACTCGGTCCAAAACTAAAGAAAAGAACAGAAAGAGAGATAGACCTGGATTATTTGATTTAAATAGATCGATAGCAATTGAGAATAAGAAAAAGAAGGAAGATACTAACTCTGAAATGGCGGAGGGAAATACCAACGATCAGGGTCAAATTAGGGATATGTCCCAAACCATTAACGTTAGCTCTCCGGTAACAAATTCCCTGGGTCCAGTGTATCTGCAAGGGACTGTCGGTGGTGACCCTCAGGCCAGTGCAGTGCCTACTCTTGGAAATATTGGAGTGAATAGAATATTGGAAAATAAGATCCAAAACCTAGCAAATGAAATGGATGATATAAAGAAAACGTTAATAAATTTGACCAAAGTTATAAAAGAAGGTAATAGAATAGGAGAAAATCGTAACCCGGTGGCGGAAGCCCCAACATATAGTGCCACAAATGTAGCTTCCAACAGCAGGGATGTAATTTCCCAACAAAATGAGAATCTGGGCCAATTGCCAAGACACCAGTTGGTTCCTAATATCTATACAGCAGCACTAGATCCGGCAAAAGGTCCAAGGGAAATAGCTTCTTCTAGGGACAACTCCATGCCACAGGTCAATTCCGGACAGAATGGGTCGAGTAGACAAGATTTGGTTCAGAATAACCACCCGACCCCATTTGACCCAAGATTATTTAGAATTAATAAGTTAGGTCTTCACTTCGATGGGAGTTCGTCTGGACTCTCCGTGGAAGAATTCGTATATCGGCTAGAATACTTCCAGCGTCAATACCAAATACCGTGGGCTGAAATAATACGCGATTTTCCCCTTATACTCAACGGAAGGGCTGAGTCATGGTATTGGTTGTTTGAGAAAACAAACAAAATCCATGATTGGGAGGAGCTCAAATACAGTCTACTGAGCCAATACCAATCCTCAAAGACTACTGTAGAGTTGATAGCCGAATTAGCCCAACGAAAACAACAACCTAATGAGTCCATAGATGCCTATTTTCATGTTATGGGTCAGATGAGGGCAAAGTTGGTACAATCAATAAGGGAGTTTGATATGATCAAAATACTGAAGAGAAATATCCGAGAAAATGTTAGCCGTATTGTATACCCCATTCAAGTCTCTTCAGTCGAACAGCTTCGCATAGAATGCAATGAAGCTGAAAAGAATTTCCTCAGGAGAGAAAATAGACCTTACGTTCCACCACCATCTCGTCCACAAAGGCAGGTCAATGAGGTTGATTTTGAGGATAATTATTATCAGGGGGATTATAACCATAATGAAAAGGGATTTGAAGAAGTTGATGCCCTACAAACAATGAGGCAACGTAACCCAAATATCGGGTGTTGGAATTGCCAGAAAACGGGTCATACCTTCAGAGAATGTGAAGCAACTACCAGGACCCTATTTTGTTATAGGTGCGGAAAGCCTGGTATTAAAACACCTCAATGCGATATTTGCCAACAGGGAAACCGGAACAGGGGCGTGGACACTACGGGGGGGCCACGTCCAACTGCAAACCCCTAAGTGTATTAAAAGGGTCTTCACATCCGCCTACTAAGCCTATATTAGACCATATATCAAAAGCCAATGAAGCAACCTTTGAACCTAAGATGAGGCATTATACACCGCTAGAGATTCGTGAGAAAAATTATGAGAAGGTTCGAGCACGAATTATGGGTAATAGCGAGGTCCAACAGGGCAATAATTCCAAAATTAAAAAAATCCGCCAAAAATTTAGAAATAAGCGTAAGGAGATGAATTTAGTGGTAGCGTCAGTTGAAAAATATGGTGCTAGATCTGATCCAAGATTATTTGCCGAAGTAGAGGTCCAGGGGACAAAAATTAGGGGTCTGTTAGACACCGGGGCTTCAGTCAGCATCCTGGGTAGAGGGTGTAGAGAATTTTTGGAACCTCTCGACGTCACCATAAGCCCAATTTTTACTAATGTAAAGACTGCCTCTGGCCACCAACACAGAATAGTGGGAAAAGTAAAGTTGGATTTAAAGTATAATGATATAGTGAGAGAGTTGGAGTTGTATCTATGTCCCGACCTGGAACAAGAATTGTATCTGGGTATAGACTTTTGGAGAGAGTACAATCTAGTACCCAATATTATTGAGGCTAGTGAAATAGATGTCGAGAAGATTCAAAGGGATATCGTGGATGATGAAGCCTATAAGCTGAATCCCCATAATTTATCGCCCCAACAACAGCAACAATTAGATGAAGTCATAAAGAACTTTGACACCTTTGAAAACAAGGGTTTAGGTAAAACCACTCTCGAAAAACATAGCATTAAGTTAGTAGAAGGAGCAGAACCTGTTAAAGATCGTCATTATCCGCTATCCCCAGCTGTCCAAGCTATAGTGTACGAGGAAATCGATAACATGCTCCGGATCAATGTGATAGAAGAGAGCGAGAGCCCATGGAGTAACCGTACCACTGTAGTCCGGAAGCCGGGGAAAAACAGGTTCTGTCTCGACGCACGCAAACTAAATAAATTGACAGTGAAAGATGCGTACCCACTTCAAAATATTGATGGGATATTGAGCAGGATAGATGAAACGTACTTCATAAGTAGTGTCGATTTGAAATACGCCTTTTGGCAAATCGAACTTGACGAGGAAAGTAAAGCCTGCACTGCGTTTACAGTGCCCGGTAGGCCATTATACCAATTTAGGGTAATGCCTTTTGGGCTCTGTAATGCAGCGCAGCGCTTATGCAGACTTATGGACAAAGTCATACCTCAGCGTTTAAAAGATCACGTTTTCATCTATCTTGACGACCTCTTAGTTATCTCGAGTGGATTTGAAGAACACCTACAACTATTAAACGAAGTGGCAATGTGCCTGAAAAAAGCCAACCTAACAATAGGAATGGAAAAATCCCAATTTTGTTTCCAGGAACTAAAATATTTAGGTTTCATTATTGGCCAAGGTAGATTGAGGACAGATCCGGATAAGATTAAGGCGATTAAGAATATAAAAATACCCAGAAACCCACGCGAAGTTAGGAGCTTTCTCGGAACCGCGGGCTGGTACCGCAGGTTCATAAAGGATTTTGCAACAATATCTGCACCTTTGACCGATAGTCTCAAAAAGTCAAAAAAATTCGAAATTAGCAATGAAGGGATTAGGGCATTCGAAAATTTGAAAAAGGCCCTCACCTCAGCTCCCGTACTGCGCCATCCCGACTTTACTAAACACTTCTACATACAATGCGACGCTTCGGACTATGGCATAGGGGCCGTTTTATTCCAGTTAAGCAATAATAAGGAAGAACACCCTATAGCCTTCTACTCGCAGAAGCTTAACTCGTGTCAAAGAAACTATAGCGTGACCGAGAAAGAGTGTTTGGCTGCGGTGATGGCGATTCGAAAATTTAGGCCTTATGTGGAAATGATGCCTTTCACCGTGATAACCGACCACGCATCCTTAAAGTGGCTAATGTCCTTAAAGGACTTGAGTGGTCGATTAGCACGGTGGTCACTTCAATTACAGGCATACGACTTTGAAATCGAACATAGGAAGGGATCAGAAAATGTTGTGGCCGATATGTTGTCTCGAGCTCCCGTAGATAAGGAGGTCGACGAACTGAATATGGAAGAATTTCTAGACTTCGAAACAACAGAATTCGAAAGCGAAGAGTACCTTGATCTTATAAAAACCATCAATGAAAATAGCCAACGATTACCGGATTTAAAGGTTAACGACGGGATGGTCTATAAGAAAAGTCTTCCAGATCCATTAATAGAGGATGAAATTCAGTGGAAGCTGTGGCTACCAACGGGGATTACCCATGAAATCATTGTCAAGGCACATACATCACTTACGGCGTGTCATGGAGGTATAACCAAAACCCTTGAAAAAATTAAAAGATTTTTCTATTGGCCAAACATGGCGAGTCAGGTCAAACAATACATAAAGAATTGCCAAAAATGCCAAGAAGCTAAATCTAGCAACCAACATTTAATGCCAGATATAGGAAGAGAAGTGGTTACCGAAAGACCCTTCCAAAAATTATACATCGATTTCCTAGG